GCTAGCCACTATTCATCTTTACTTATTAAGTTTGTAATTTAAGGCTATATCGAGGCAATCCGCACAGGATGCACATATACCAATAAGAGAGTGATTAATTGCAGTTCTAAATAACAATGGAAAGATATAAATAAAACAATGACAAGTAAATTTTAAATAATTGACTTTAGAAACAAATTGGAAATTTTATTTTGTTTAGTTATTGTCCTGGGTTCGAATCTCGCAGGGGGCGAGGTCGTGGATGCTTACTGCTGAGGAGTCCCACAATAGGACGAAACGGCCATTCAGTGCTTAAAGGTTTCCCGTGGTGGTCTAGCTTCAACTGACCCATGATCCTAACCACTGAAATTAATATTCACAAAACTCATCTGATATTATTGTCAATTGTTTACAACTTGTAATATCGATAAAATAGATTTCAGTTACTTACATGAAAAAGTTCAATTGAAAGTTGTTATGATCGCACATGAGTATGATATAGAGAAGGTGAAGATAATTGTAATAGATGAAATGATATATTATAAATACATATATAGCGTGTGTAAAAGCATATTCTACAAAGTTTATAGTAACAAAAGCCCAAAGGACTAATAACAAGTTATTACGCAATAAGTAAATACTGACAATAACTACGCGTAAAACAAATTTAATTAAAATAAAACTACTAATCTAGAAGACGATTCAAATAAAACGTCATAATGTAGTTAATTGAAGGTGAACATTATTATTACTTTATGTTGGAACTTTAAGAATAAGTGACTATTGCCCAAGACATTGATTCATCTTTAACATTTGATACAAAAAAGTAATGACTATTTCACTTTTAATATATATATATATATATATATATATATATATATATATATATATATATATATATATATATATATATATATATATATATATATATATATATATATATATATATATATATATAAGTAATTTAATAGTTGAGTCAATGAGTTGATTGAAGCTAGATCAGCATGAAAAACCTGGAAGCACTGGACGGCTGCTTCATTCTAGTATGGGACTCGTCAGCAATAAGCATTCACGATTCCGCCTCTCAAGATTCGAATCCAGGACATATTTTAAATAAATTGAAAAACAAGGATCGTTTAGGAAGTTTTTAACGAAGGTTTAATAAACGATATTTACGGAATTTCAACTTTGAACATTACTATTTTTTTACATTTTGAAACTATTGCATAAGTAAGTGGCTATCAAGACTCAGTAACCAAGTAAATAACGTGACGGCATTTGAAGCAAACGGTACTGGATTTGAGCCTCAGAGTGAACATCAACTTTGATATGAAAGTGCATCCAGCTGACGAGTGTTCAATAAGATGAAACTTGCATCCTGAATTCCACTACTAGCCACTATCCATCTTTGCTTACAATGTAATTTATAATTTAATGAGTTTGACTTAAAAGTAATTTTCATTTAACTAGACAATATTCTTCATAGTCGAGTAACAATGTAAACAATAAGGAAATTTGTAACACTTTATCTCTCTTACGATCTTATTATTTTGTATACTATTTGTTTGTTTATTTTTCTTCAATCCCTCATATCTATTTTCTGTTTTTCAAATATATACGCTTCAATGTATCATTATCTGAATACTTCTTATTACATAATCTTATGTTATTTGAGCATCTACAAGCCTTTATTAATCTTATTACAACTAGTAAACCTGTCATTACAGCGTCAATTTGTACTTTTCAGTTATTATGTTTATTTATGTAATCTATTCCACTGTTATCATTCACTCAATAAACTGACTTGATTGGTTTAATAATTTCGAATAGACATTAACACCATTGGATGCCGGCTCAGTTGTCTAGTTGGTCAAGCGCCTGACGTGAGACTGATAGATCCTGGGTTCGAATCTCGTGGAGTGCGGGATCGTGGATGCGCACTGCTTAGGAGTCCCATACTAGGACGAAACGGTCGTCCAGTGCTTTCAGGTTTTCAATGGTGATTTGACATTCATCACAATGGTTAGTTTGATGGAATTTCTAATAATGTGTCATACAGAGATAACTTAGAGCTATATAAAGATTTATTTAATTTGCTATTTCGGATAAAATTTCACATGTCGTAGTAAATACGACGTACGATATGAACCACTAATAATTAATTGATTATTTGTCTATTTTTGATGAAGTCTTGCTTGTTGAGCTGGATGGTTTGTGCTGATAATATCGTTCAGAATAACGATGAAAGCTTCATGACCAAACCATCCACCTCAGAGAACAAAACTCCATTAAAATCATCTGCCTTAGCTACAAATCTTCTACAACATCTAGCATGATGCCACCTTCTAACTTCTTGATTATGCTATAGATTTTATTACTTTCATACAAAGTATGCTCCAAATTGGTTTCGCACTGCAAACACCATACGTATTCTTATGTAATCTACCAGTGAATTAAATAACAACGATTACCACATTTTCTGGAAGTTTAGTTGTATTTGGAAGTGTCTCTATTAGCTTATTGTTATCACCAAACCTGTTTTAGTCAAAAGTCTTACTTTCATTGGAAAAAAGTTAAACTATCTCTTTAAACACCTTAACAAATTATCACCTACCAAAGAATCCATTATCGCTAACAGATGAACCACTTTTATACAATTGCATCTTTTTCATTCATTCATTCTTTAGTACTAATGTGGTGTGCTACGGATATCGACATATAGAAGTAGTATGTACCACCAATCAAAAGTGAAATGCCTGGCGGCAGAAGGTTAGAAAAAGTGAAGATAAAAGAACGAAAACAGAGAGTGGTTGGTGCGGAAACGAAGGAACAATCACGTCTGAGACAACTGATTGACATTTTGCAAATGAAGTATTAACTCCATGGTTCTCAGATTTTACAAAGACATTCCGTAGTTCTTTATTAAAATACATTTACATTTGGTTGTCCACCACTGATGTTCTCGTTCACTACACTAATAACTATATGATCACTATTTGAAGAGCTTGAAATATCTATTATTATAATTATTTTTTATGTTTTATACTTTGTACAAGTGTAATCACTAAGCACTTTATGGACAGTAGAAACAATGTAAACATAACAGAAGCCTTTAAAATTATCGACAAGCAGTGAAAACATCATTTCAATCAAGTTCTTTCGACCTAACTTTGTATACATAAAGTGAATGTAATGAATCTCTTATTAACATGGTAAAACAGTTATGTTACTCTAACATTTTATCAGGTACATAATCTCTTTATTAAATATATCATAACTTAAAAATAAATTCCCCTGATATTCATCCAAGATGTTACCATGAATTTTATATAAACTAGATGCCTTGATTTGTTGACAATTTGTTTTTATTCATTGTCTTTTTAATATTGTATTGAACAGGAACATGATTGGGGACAATCGATTGTATTCGAACACGAAATTACACAACATCTTAATAAAATCTGATAATCATATAGTGAATCGTTAATTTGCAAAATATCAATCCATCATCTCAAACTTCACTCTTCCTGTTGCAAACATCAATCCATTTTCTTAGATCTCATTGTTCATACGTTTTCATACCAACTGCGTTGCGTTTCCGTCCATTTTTATCGGACTTCTACTGAAATACATTATATGCCTGACCACCGTTATATACCATTTGTGTGAATATAAGTAACCCACACCACAATATCACTTATAACTTTAACGACATCCTTATATGACTTCATCTACAATAGTATAAATGCTAATCGATCTTAACCATTTTATTAGATATGTTATTTCCTTTTGTTTTATTATTATTATTAGCTTTATTCAATATATTTTTGGTACAATATAGAATGGTCAGCACAAGGTATTTCAACAAGTTTCCGTTTCATATTGATTGATTGATCCTGACGATAAGTATTAAGTGGTCACCAGTTAGATGTTAGCAGGAATCGTCAGGAATCAATATCTAAATAATGTGTATTCTTTTCGATGAATATCGTCAGCAACCACAATATCGTTGATTGGGCGTTTTTGTAACGTGTATAGTGAAAAAGCGTAAACTTTTCATAAACTCATTTGAGTAGGTTATGCAATTAATAGACATAATTATGTGTTAAGACAAACAAACAAGAAAACCGATAACCTGTTGAAATATCTAAATGGCAGGAACAAGTACCCCAAATATTCAAACACACCATTGTTTTAAATTAAACTTCATTGATTACAATATATAAAATGTTTTACAATAAAATTACTAATGTAAAATTGACCCGGTTTCATTGAATAAGTGGCCTTGAATTCTTATTATTCTGTAAATCTTGTTCTCCTGGCTTAATTTCAATTTATGAATGAATGAAGCTGTTTGAAATATCATAACTACTTGTTTATAGTAAATTTAAGCTAAATTAAATTGACATTTTAAATAATCACTTGGAGATAAGTAAATATTACCCAGATATTAAAGTAAAATATAACAATTATTAAATACTTATTACACACATGAATAAATTTCTATTGTAGTGATTCCAAGTTGTTTTTTTTGCTTTTTTAAAAATTGAAATTCAATAATCAATTTGTAGTAAAATTCAAGCAGAAATAATATTTTAATGGTTGAGATCATGAGTCAATTGTAGCCAGATCACCATGTAAAACCTAGAAGCACTGGATGGTCGTTCCGTCCTATTTTGGGACTCCTCAGCAGTGCACAATCACGATGCCGCTCGCGGTATTCGAACCCATACCCTTCAGTCTCGCGCACGAACGCTTAACCTCTAGACCACTGAGATTTAGTGTTCGTGTGCGAGACCGGCAGATACTAGGTTCGAAGCTCGTTGAGAAATCTCGCAATAAGACGAAACGGACGATCAATGCTTACAGGTTTTCAATGGTGGTCTAACATCAATCGATTCATGATCTCAATCGAAACTTACCAATCTCCACAACCCCTATACTGATAAATAGTTTAGAGTAATATCTCTATAGTACTGAAAACAATGTACATTATTAATAAATAATCATAAATCACTCACACTAATAAATATTGATTGGTCTACATTAGCTTCTTCAAATATAGTACCAAACTGAAATATTGGACAAAATCGATTTTCTGGATCAGTTTTATTATATAAACATGTACGAAGAAATTTTTTGGATGCCCAATTTTGAATATTTCGTCTAGAATTAAAGTAAAAGTAATTATTATTATGAATAAACGAATTCTTTTTGTTTTTCAATTCAAAGTATTTCTTGCATAAGACTAATACAATGCATTACCATAAATTGAATTTAGAATAACATTATGAAATCCCAGATAGTGAGTTCATCTGGAAAAAAGGTACAACCATATAGAATTAACAAAACTTAATAGTACGTCATTTATAACTCCGTTTGGAGCCCCTCTGGGGCTACTGCTGATCCTAAGTCCGAAAAAAGGAGAATGGTTTGGCATGGAGTTAACGACCCCATCTCGTAGAAAACTAACTCGCTAAAAAATCGCTAACCAATAAGTAAGTAACATCATATATAGTTTAAACAAACTTCATATTATAAATATTATTTAACGTAGGCGATATCAATAATTAATAATAGTTAACAAGGCGAGACTCTAATTTAGGGACGAGCCAATCAGAAACGTTTGAGCAATTTCAATCATTAGCTAATCAGAAGACAGTATAAAGTAAAAATATATTATAAGAAAGTAATGTATTACAGTGGATATTCTTCTTTTACATGATTTAAAAACTTGTTAAGGTTTGATAAAGGTTCGGAAGTTCTGAATTCATAATGCATACGGTAGAGAAACTCGTCCATAAGGTTAGGGTTTAGGGTTAAGGTTAGGGGTTAGGGTTGTAGCCTAGGGTTAGGGTTGTAGCCTCTCGATAAACTCCTCTGCCCTAAAATCCGTTGTAAACCGATCGTATGTTAGCACCCTAACCCTAACCCTAGCCCTAACCTAACCCTAACCCTAAACCCTAACCGTAATTTTACCCTAACTCTAAAACCTAACCCTATGGACGAGTTTCTATACCATATGCATCATGAATTCAGAACCTTTGAACCTTTATCAAACCTTAACAAGTTTTTAAATCATGTGAAAGAAGAATATCCACTGTAATACATTACTTTATTATAATATGTTTTCACTTTATACCAACTGTCTTCTGATTGGCTAATAATTGTCAAGGTCATTTATGATTCGTTCAAAGGTCGTTCCTAAATTAGAGTCTCACCGTTATCAAAAGACTTGGCATAAATAAATAATACTGTGGTGTATGTTGCATATGCTGACATATTTAAGTAGTATAAAACACTTGTCAACAAAAGATTAAAATAAAGAAAATGCAATATAAATAGAACAGTAAGTCTATCAACAACAGAACAAGGAAGACTCATGAAGTATGTAAAGTAGAACTGAAGGAAGATGTATAGAAAATGTATTTAATGTATGGTTTTTACCATCTGAAATCTTGTTCAATACAATAGTTCAATGAAAACATTGTATTTATTACTATATGAAACGAATAAAAATACAATCTCATGTCAATGATAGGTAGGTTATTCAATTTACTAATAAAATTAAAAAACTAATATTTGGATGATGAATATTCTTTTCGATAAATTCTCTTCAGCCTCTACAATTCATATATATCCAAATTAATAAACCGGGAAATGGTCAGGTTTAAGGGTAAAGTATATCGTTTAAAGTCAAAGCATGTGAATTTAGGATTGCGATAAACAAAATACAATAAAATTATTGATGTTGATATGATTCATATAGAATGATAACTTGAATCTGCATATATGTGAAGTGAAAATTTTAAGATCCATGATCCGAATAAATATGGGTTAGATAGGGTGACATCGAGGTTAAAAGATGAATTACCTAGAATGACCATCTCATTTTGTATTTATCAGTTCGACTGTTTCTGTGGAGCAAGTTATATTGGTCGAAGTTCTAGGAATTTACATTTTCGTGCTTGAGAACACCTCCAAGAGTGGCCAAGTAAAGGTTTGGTGAAGAAAGTGAACAGCTAGATATTAGCCCATTTAGTACAAACTGGTCATAGTGCCAGTATAAACCAAGCATTTCAACTTATTTATATTGTCAGTAATTTTTTACCAAGGCTTATCAGATTTAAAGTCCTTTAAATGGTTGAAGCCGTAGCCATCCAGATGAAGAAGTCTGAGCTATGCATACATAAGAAATATGTTCAACCATTCCTTCTTTCTTGGTCAACATCAAAGCCAATTAATCAATAGTAATATTAGCTATTGAATGACCTAATTTGACTATTATACTCACGACCTCTCGTTGTCAAATGTAAATGTCTTTGTCATCTTTATTCACAAATCTTTGCATTATTATTATTATTATTAGTCAAACATTATTAATCTACTCAATGCATAAGATGGTGGAGAATATTTGTAGCTCAGGAGTTTTGTTTTCTGATCTTGATTCATTCACTTCGCATTCATCCCTCCTTGTTATATCTTACTAATTTTTCACAAGACATAGCCTCCCACTAAACATTTGATCGAATTGTAATTGTGCTATTATTCCTCTCACCTTATCTGACCCATACTTATTCGGATCATGGATCTTAAATTTTCACTTCACATATATGCAGATTCAAATTAACATTCTATATGAGTCATATCAACATTAATATTTTTTTGATTGAGATTATGAACCAATTGACGTAAAACCACCATTGAAAAATCCGGAAGCACTGGACGATCGTTTCGTCCTATTGTGAGACTTCTCAGCAGTGCGCATACACGATCGCACCCACGGGATTCGAACCCATACCCTTCAGTCTCGCGCGCAAGCGCTTAACCTACTGAGCCACTGAGCCGGCATCCAAAATTTAACAGTCTCCACAACCCCTATACTAGTAATTAACATGTGCTCATTAGTGACTAGCTTCGTGAGAAAATTGTCGGAGTTCTGATGAGAAGCCGTGATCCCTAGAGTTAATCCGTGTTGGGTAGAAAGAAGCTTCTACCTCAGTACAATGGAATATGGTCGCGCAATTTCGTGGATTGGTTGCGGTAGACATTAACACCAATGGATTTCGGCTAAGTGGTCCAGTAAGTTAAGCGCTCGCACGCGAGACTGAAGGGTATGGGTTTGAATCCCGCAAGCGGGATTGTGGATGTACACTGCTGAGAAGTTCCACAATAGGACGAAACGACCGTCCAGTGCTTCCGGTTATTTCAATGGTGGTTTAACATCAATCGGTTCATGATCTCAATCAAAAACTTGACAATCTCCACAACCCCTAGACTGATAATCAGTAATTTTATTACATTTTGGTTAACAATCCTAAATTCACATGCTTTGACTTTAAACGATATACTTTACCCTTAAACCTGACCATTTCCCGGTTTATTAATTTGGATTTATATGAATTGTAGAAGCTGAAGAGAATTTATCGAAAAGAATATTCTTCATTCAAATATTAGTCTTTTAATATGATGGGGATCTTTAAACGATTAATAATAACGATTCATAGTAATCTAGTTACTATTTGTATAAATTTAATTTGCTTTCTATAAAAATGAAGAGTAAGTATCTGTGTACATGATAAATTTCCCTAATTTTAGGCAAATATCTTATCAATATACAACAGAAATAATGATCTTAATAACTTTGTAAACTTTGATAATAACAAATAATGGATGCTTTTGTGATTGATTTAATCATTACAAATTATCACAATAAATATGAATATTATTATAGTGGATGCGCACTGATGAGGCGTCCTATACTAAAACGAAACAGTCATCCAGTCCTTCCAAGTTTTCCATGATGGTTTAGCTTCAACTGATTCATGAATTCAACTATAAAATTACTAAAAATCTCCTCAAAAACCTCCTTTTGATAAAATATGATTATATTTGTTAAGCATAATTACCATAAAGTTTTTCTGATTGCTTATGTTACTGAATTACTAGTCATTTTGAAATCGTATATATATGTATTAATAATGATAATAATAATAATCGCTTTACTTAGTATTATATCGAAATATCCAACAAATCTAAATAACAATATTTCATGATATCATTGTAGAGTATTGAGATTAGATTTCAGCACATATTAACTACACCTCAGATTATTTTATTTATTTAAACATTGGTACAAGGAGGCATCAAATAGATATGCGCCATACAAATCATCCGATTTATGTCAGGGCTAGGATACTGATCGGGTGCCCAAACAGAAGCGTGCGGTTTTCTTAGGGGGCCACACCTGGAGCCTTCGACCTAAAGGTCTGATCCATAAGGCAGTGGAGCATCGTCAGGTGGAAGGTGATCAACAACTAGTTTATACGTCATTTGTTCCTTCAGGATCGTGGTGCCCATGTGCACCATTGGTTTGAAACCAGAGTTTTTCAACTCTCCTATGTGGAACCTCTGTGTTCACCAGCCCGATTAAAGAACTGGTTATTGGCTTCTCGTCCTTTCAATTTCGTAAAGAACACGTCTGCTGCAAGAAGGCAGTGAGTAGGACTTCCCTGGCACGTGGCCATGTGAGAGGATTTCGAGACGGAGAGATAACTCTTCCCATTCTCGGCCGTACCAGGGCATTTGCAACCGGAACTGTGGATTTTTATGCTTTTGGATTTGTTATTATATATAATATATACGCTATACAAATCAATACTGTATAAATTTTATGGTAACATAAATATGAAGTTCGATAAGAAGTACTTATTTATAAAGTTATATCCTTTTTTCTGTATTTACATGCTAGAATTTTCATTATACATTTTATTATTGTAAGCATATTTTTCTAACGTATTGAGTTATTATCAATCACTTATATCTTCAAAGGATAAAAGTAATTCCAGGTTTTCCACGGTAGTCCAGCTTCAATTGACTCATGAATTCAACTATTAAAATAACTACAATCACCACAAAACACCTCTTTGATTGTAATCATCATATGCTCACTAGTGACGGTTGCGCAACTTCACCAATTGGTCGATTTTATACGTTAACACAGTTGGATGCCGACTCAGTGGTCTGGTGGTTAAGCGTTCGTGCATGAGACTGATAGGATCGTGGATGTGCACTGCTTCCAGGTTTTCCATAATAGTGTAGCTTCAATCAACTCATGAATTCAACTATTAAAAATATTATAATATCCGAAAAACCCCTATCTGATTATAAAAGTATACATTTTTCATTATTTATTAAAGTAATTCTCATTAAGTTTTAGTTAGTTCTTCTATATCACTATCTTTGTCTACCCTAAACTAATAAATTTGTGACATCATGCCTAGTTTGTATTACGTTCAAGGTTGTAGATATTATAATTGGATGCATTTTATTGTTAACTTTAGCCACTTAATTACCATGAATATTTGTTAGTATTTTAATGAATAGTTTGACAGGAATTGAGCACCAAATGTATAACAAGTATTATGTGTAAATATTATATTTGAAATCATCTCAATAATTGAATTTTAAATAATTTTGGTGTTTCGTCCAACAATCTTGTGTGAACTTCTTCAGAGAACTACCACAGAATATATACCGTTTAACAAGTAAATAAATCTTCATTGAAAGCTTATCTAATGATATTCAGATGTTGGTTTAATCAAGTAAGAAGATATTGGTCAGTATTATAAAAGAATGAATGAGTGTGTAGATATAGGTTTATGTTATTAATAGTTAAAGTTTATTACATAAATTCAGTCTTTGTCTATCATCAATTACATCTTAACCATTTTGTTTACTTCAACAAAAAATTTAATCTCTGTGGTTTAACAACATGAGTATCCATTCATCTCTTCACATTTTATATATAAACTTTGAAGATCAGAAGAAAAAAACTATTCATTTGTACTATTATTTTCAATAAACAAAATGATTAACATGTATTTAAAGCTATTAGTCTCTTTGGTAAATTTCGATAGTGTAATAAGAGAATGAAGATTATCAGAACTATTGAAGTCTTAACCATACGTGAATTCAACCACCACCCCCCTCTATGAATTAAAAAAACACAGTTTGTTCACACCTTAAACCTACCCTAGTAATATAAACTTATTATCCAGAATGGTGAGGTTTCAAATTCTTTTCACATTATTATTATTTTTTTAATTATCCTTTTCTCCTTTTCTCCTCCATTTCTAGACTAGTTGACCTTTTATTCTTATATATATATATATATATAAGTTCTTAACAAGTACATTATGTATGATCAGATTGTTCGAAATATATTGCGCTAATATATCATTACATAGTTCTGATAATCTTCGTCTTCTTATTACACTATCGAAAGTAATACGTATTTGATGATAGACAGTGACTGAATTCATCCAATAAATTTTAGAACAACATATATAAGTAAACAATATAGTTTTCGATTAGATCCTCATTAGACTTTACTTTAATATACAATAATATTTATATGCATATAAGAAATTATTAAACCAATCAAGTCAGTTTATTGAGTGAAAAGTACAAATTCGTACTGTGACGATAGGTGTACTAGTTTTGACAAGTATAATAAAGCCTTAAATCAATGTTACATAATGGGAAATAGGTCAATGATTAGAAAAATATAGACACTGAATTAACCTTCATAAAAATTATAAGTTTAAGTAATAAGTGTTCAGGTAATTGGACAGTATATTTGAGAAAAAAAGAAAATGGTAGGAGGGAATGAAAAAAACATAAACGAAGAGAGAGTATGGAAAATAATAATAAACTTTAACTATTAATAACATAAACCTATATCTACACACTCATTCATTCTTTTATAATATTGACCAATATCTTCTTACTTGATAAAACCAACATCTGAATATCATTAGATAAGCTTTCAATGAAGATTTATTTATTTGTTAAACGGTATATATTCTGTGGTAGTTCTCTGAAGAAGTTCACACAAGATTGTTGGACGAAACACCAAAATTATTTAAATTTCAATTATTGAGATGATTTCAAATATAATATTTACACATAATACCTGTTATACATTTGGTGCTCAATTCCTGTCAAACTATTCATTAAAATACTAACAAATATTCATAGTAATTAAGTAGGTAGAGTTAGAAATAAAATGCATTCAATTATAATATCTACAATCTTGAACGCAATACAAACTAGGCATGATGTAACAAATTTAATAGTAGACAAAGATAGTGATGTACAACAACTAACTAAGGTTAGACTATAATTTATGGATGAACCAATCACGTATAAGATAACAGTTCTTGGATTTTGACGCGAAATCCACTCATCCATTTCGTTAAGTAGAGTTTTGGCAATATGGCTGATGTCAATTCGTGATGAAAACCCGAAATCTTATTCCTAACCTTATCCATTAATTGTAAATCATAATTATAATTCCTCATATTGGCTTTTAACCCTCATTTAATCCTAGTTATTAAGTGGACACTCTCAAGGTTAGTTTAGCGTCTCTCAATGGTCTTCTATAAATTATTGTCTCACCCTAACTATAACTTAATGAGAATTACTTTAATAAATAATGAAAAATGTATACTTTTCTAATCAGAGAGGGTTTTTTTGGATACATTATACTAATTTTAATAGTTAAATTCACGAGTTGATTGAAGCTATACTACTATGGAATACCTGAAATCACTGGACTACCGTTTGTTAATTGTTTGACTAAAAACAAATATATTCACGGATTGGTTGAAGTTAAACATTAACACCGTTCGATGCTGACGGGTCAGTGGTCTAGAGGTTAAGCATTTGCGCACGAGACCGACAGGTCCTGGGTTCAAAACTCGCAAAGTAGAATCCTGGATACACACTGCTGAAAAGTTTCATGCTAGTACGAAACGGTCGTCCAGTGCTCTCAGCTTTTCCATGTTGGTCTAGCTTTAATTGACTAATTAATTCAACTATTAAATAAATGTACATTTTGTGTAATCAGTTGTGAATTAAGCTATTTTAATAAAAACTGTTAATACTGTCTTATTACTGGAGCCGAATTAAGTGAATCAAGATTATTGACTAGTTTCCTAATGTTATGAGTTTGAAGCACTGTGTCAAAATATTGTTAGCGGGTCGTAAATTGGATTAAAGTAGCTCGATGCGCGATTGCGTTGTTGCACGCTGATTGAATAAGAATTAGCCAATCAGCATTAGTCGATACTTGGGGGACAGTCTAGAATCTTCTAATGTAGAAACTATAAATATACTAGCTTTTTTCTTATTGTGCTTTTTACTTCCATCTAACCTTGTTACTTGGAATATAATCTCTTTCGTGTTCAACCGTGCTCTGATTTGGGGACTTGTCGAGTGAATTGGTGTTCAGGAATAGTAAACAATAGGAATAGCTGGGTTGTAATAAGAGAGAAATATAACAAATATACAGACAAAGAAAGAGTTCCGTTAAACATCTTTTCTAACTAAATTGATATCGTAAGGCAATAATAAATTGATCAGGTCGATAAGCATAATTGTCGATTACCTTGTTTTTCGGAATGAAATGATTTTGAAATTATCAGAAGGGGTTTGTGGAGATTTTAGAAATTTCACTGATTAAAATCATGAGTCAATTGAAGCTAGACCACCATGGAAGACCTGGAAGCACTGGACAGCCGTTTCGTCTTCTGCTCACTAGTGACTGACTTCAAGAGATACTTCAGGAGTTCTAGTAAGTAGCCGTTACCAGTGGAGTTCAACCAGGTCTGTTGTGAGATAGAAACTCACTGAAGACAATGATGTACAACTTCGTGGATTGGTTGAAGTTAGACATTGACACCGTTGGATGCCGACTGGCTCAGTGGTCTAGTTGGTTAAGCGCCTGGCGCGAAACTGATAGGTCCTGAGTTCGAATCTCGTGTGGTGTGGATGTGCACTGCTGAGGAATCTCAGACTAGGACGAAACGGCCGTCCAGTGCTTCCAGGTTTTCCATGGTGGTCTAGCTTCAATTGACTCATGAATTCAATCAGTGAGATTTTTAAATTGTTTACTTAACATTCTATTTATTTATTAGAAATTATTCATTAGGTAATTTATAACTAGCTTCTGGTTTACTTTATTCTATTTCGCTTGTTGTATAAACTACTCAGTGTATTGATTAAGTAATTTGTATGTGGTAAGTAATAAAATCGGTACCTAGTGATTTTAGAAAACCTTTATATGTATTATATGAGCTTCTATTTTCTCTAAGACTTCAAATATTCATTTATTTACTTTCGAGTTAAAAATCAAACTCAGCCTATTAAGTCAATTAATAAGATGCTGAGAAAAACCATTGAGCAAGTATCACTTTTGATGATCTGTTTTGGATTTTTTCTCATTTGAGTGAAGTATCTAAAGTTTAAATATCTTTCCTAATTTATAACCTATAATTATGACTTTAATATCACATGTTATCAACATATCAACCTTCGAAACATAAATGATCCCTACCAGTAAATGGTACTTCGACCACGAAGTGGTATAAAATGTTAAAGATGGTTTGAAAATAATGACAAATGCACAGTAATTAATGTCAATTTTTTCCCACCACCTATTTAATAACCGTTGTACTTTAGATAACTGAAAGTGTATAATTCAGCAAACTGTTAGGATGTTGACATGAGACTTAACTGTTAACAATATGGAACTTCATGTAGTCACAACTCAGCTGAATGCAATGGGGGAAATTTTTACAGGAGTCTGAAATGACAGGCGAGGCAAATGCAAAAAATTAGTTGTTATCGCGAAAAATCATGTGGTAATTGAAAAATTAAGTTTTGGCCTAGCTATTGTGAGTTAGCAAATTTGTGGTATGGTCAAGGTCACCTCACACATATCATCGTCTAGATCGGTCTAGTAACTGTATTTATGTACATATATAATTAAATCTAGCAACACAGCTTCCCACAAGTTATTTGTCTTCTCACAACACATCGATGGTCGGCTAAGGCTTAGAAAGGGTACATTGTGACTGAATCAAATTGAAGACTATATCAGAAGCGTATTCAGAATAAGTTTAGTAACTAACAGATAGTAATAAGATAGTTGAAAATGATTAACGTGGACATTCTGTGACAAAACGATACAGAAGTGGTAAAATTAAAAAAAACGATTTGTTTACTTATCGAAAAACTTAACAAATTCTTTGAAACGAAACATTCAATACTATTTTTCTTATTTGATACAACTTACCGATGTATACCGAATTTTTCGAAATTTATATCATTTTTGATAAGTAGTGTGTAATTATAAACCATTGGGAATAAATATGATTTTTTACCAAGCGGTAAAGTATCATTTTCTAATGGACACCAAGAATATATTTCACATGATCCAATATCATTCCCTGGTTTAATGATACATTTGCCTGTATGAGCACCTGAACAAAGAATAGACAATGAATGGGTTAAAATATCTAAGTTACAATCTTTTTTTAAATAAACAAAACACAATGACAAGTAATTACTAAAATTTTATCTACACAATCTAAAATTTGAAATAATTCATTGATTAAAATAATACTTTACTCTAATCAATAAAGTAATTCTCGTTTTGTATAACATCAACTCTGGGATGCATCCAACTGACATCCAGCTGACGAGTCCCAAATAGAACGTAGCCCGAATTCTGCATTCCAACGCTAGACACCTTCCATCCTTGCTTAGAAAGCTTGTGACTTAAGGCTATATCGAGGCAATCTGCACAGGATGCACTTATGTCAACATGAGACTGATCAATTGCAGTCTTAAATAACAATGGGAAGGTACAAGTAAAACAACACCAAGTGAATTTAATGTTTACAAGCATTTTAAATAAAATCTAGGCTACCACTAACTAAGTATGTTAATAATGCGAATTGAAACCTAAAGACGCAGAAACGGTTTTGCAAATTCATTTGTCCTTACAAATAAAAAAGATAGAGTTATATCAACAATACGTAAATGTTTCAGTTTCTAAATGAAATTATTCAGGTAATCAAAATGTACAAAATGATTGAATTCACGACAGAATTTCCAGGAAAATAAGTTCTTTAAATCGTTTCATTTATGAGCGCAGTTACCAACCAGACTATGTTTCAAAAACTTGTTTACCTTCAAACAATGTTAAATGGTATTATTCAGATGTCAAATTTACCTAACACTTTGTTAAATCCTGACTACATATTAATACTGCTAAAATCGATAGATAATATCTGCAATAACATTTAATAAAATTTACTGTATTTTGTAGTCTTATATTTAATGAGCATGAGATTGTGGCAAGTAACACTGAACATACATTTTAGAATTATTTTCAGTGTAAAGATAATTTAGCTGAAAACAGGTAACTCATTTTTAGATATGGTCCTTAAAAATTCGATTACATGGTATTTAATCTATTCAAGAGCCCAAGGTGTGAAATAACCAAACTTGATAATGTGTGAAAACTCATAGTTTCTATAATTAATTAAGAAATTATGAAAGGTCGATGCTGATAACATAATATTAACTGAATTTATATACATGAAATTACTGCAATCATGTGCTATAAAACACCTAATGTCATTTTTAAAAGCATCTTAAAATTGATGACTAACAAATAGAGTAAACCTTAGAACTTTTATTTTACTTCGCTATATCTATAATTAAATATGAATTTTAGACTGACAAAATATCTTTATTTCGTACTTGATTTTAATATCTGGATTGTGATAAGTGATAAGGTGCCTAGTTGTTGGGACATCAAAATAAAACTGAAGATAAGTCCGAAATGGCAATTTTATGAGAGAAGGATTTCCATTCTACTAAATATTGAGTACACAAACAGTTATGAGCCGGTTAAACTCTTGTTTCATGCAGTCGTTTGTAATAAGTTATTAGTAATAACTGTAACAAAAAACAATGATGAAAAATCAGATACAAATTGATAAATCTATTGTATTTTAATTTTTTCGAACGATCATAGTCTGATAAACTTTTGTTCTTAAATGAGAGAAAACGAAATATTTTAAATTGCTAAACGGACAGTTCTTAATCAATGAATAACTGTATTAAAGTCTTAACGAAAGTACTGTACTGCAGAATATTTCAAGAAAAATTAGTAATTAGGTAGTAATAACAGAGTATTGGAGAGCAAACAATCGGATGTAAGTAAGTCTCTTATTTTATAAAACTTTAGTAAATGATATCATAAGTTCTGTCCCATATAAAATTGAAAATTGGACAAAAACTGTCGTAAGAAATTGAACAAATTAAAAAGACCTTATTTCAAAGTATCTATAAACATTAATATGGGCTTTTATTTGTCATTTTTAGCGTAAAATATAAGCTTCAAATAATTGCTTCCAAGTCATATTGTTAAACAGACATTTTCCTGCATAGCGTATTCAGATCACTCTGGGTAACTCGTTAAGATCAATACAATAGTTTTTCATTTTTCGTTTGTGCTTTTTTCCATCCCACAGTTTAATTTTAATAAACTACCAGTTTTTAAAGTCAAATGTCCTTACATTCAGTGGTTTAACCGCAGATACAGCACCATGAACTCCGTAAAGCTAACTGAGAAACATATTACTTCTTTTATAACTGCCTAACCCATGAAAGGTATATGTAAAGAAGAATTTAGAGATGCGAAAAATACATAAAATTTTGTACGAGTGCGAAATCTTTCTGTAAATGTTGATTCAACTGATATTTAATTCTGAACAACTTCTATTGGAGGGATATCATATTTTTTCATGGATTGAAATGAAGTTTTGATTTTGACAGTTAAAATAAGGTATTATATCAGTTTAACCTAGAGAATATTTTGTTCTAAGACATAAAGCAATGCGGATCAAATCATTATTGAAGACAATATGTGTAAAAACAGATGGATTTAATGAAATTTTAGTCGAAATGAATGCTCTAACATGTTATCCTAATTGATGTGGTTTAGTATGGCTAGAAGATTAATCACAAAGTATAGAACCACCAATGAACTGATTATTTATTTAAAACTGAGATACACAATTACGACCTCATGATTGAAGTATCTCCAAAAACTTATTCGAGGAAAATTTTAAAACACTGACCAAGTGATTTGAAAATTTAGATTTGACAAAAACCTAACAATCTAGACACCAGTCCAATAAAATATATGTTTTGTGATATTTGATAAAAATCAGAACTCTTCGACAGTCTTGCTAACCACAATTCAGTTAGAGATCAAAATGGTTTGTAAAAATTCATGTACTAGTTAGGGACCCATCTAATAAATAAATATTTAAATGATAAAAGTAAATTAAAGTTAAAGTGCTTCTTGATCTTATGTATCAGATAAAGACTGTGCTTAATGATTGAAACTCTAATTTTAAACAACAATATATGGTAATGTTGAACATCACAATCGGTTTAACGAATGAATATGGCTGTCACTACTAACTTACCATTACCAAGATGGGTAATAAAGTAGGGTTTACAGTCCGAGTCTTTATAACAAGCTGCCTCAGGGACCCATGAACTCTAGAAAATGTATTATGCCAAAAGAACTACCTCCGGGCACTTAGAAAGTGACTGACGTTCAGTTTTAACCAAGTTGGTGATTACAAACAGTGCATTATTTTCTAAAGGTGGTACTATATAATCCGCCACGTCCCAACTCCGTATCCCGATCCCCGGGATATGAGAAAAGTTTGTAAAGCCAACACCTTTTACTTTAGTCGTGACTGCACTTTTAGCTATATCATTCTCTTGATATCCCTTCTCATAAATCATAACCCAGCTGTTTTTATAAACAACCATATATTTTAATAGCAATTTACCAAACGACATATATAAGAATAACCAATTGAAGTAGGCGTTGAGTAACTCCAATTTTAATGTTGGAAATCTGTACAAGTTTTGGCGTTTCATATTCAAAAAGGACAGCAATCCCCTTAACCATTTGTTTACGAGTGCCTACATATGTCGAGTTTTGAAAGTTCGCTTTTAACAGCAATCAAGGTCATGATTGTTATCAAGTATTCTAAATGGAAAAACAAAACTGCGAAATCTGAAATAGTTTCCATGAAAATACTTCGTAAATTATTTTAAATGGCTTCAAGTGGTTTCAAGTTGAATAGAATAGGTAATCGTTGGGCAGGATTCCGTGTCTAGTGACAGTGGATCACCGGTCCTGCTAGGTAGGAACCCATGTATATTTAACGGTAGAAGGGAAAGGAAAATAGTACATCATAGTGAGACGCTATCCTCATTCTCCAAGAATGTGTCAATTTTTTTCTCATAGGACTCCTGAGAAGTCTCTTGGGCTAACTCGGTCAGCAACAAATTCCACTCTTAAGGAGTAGGTGTTCCTATAGTCCGTTCCTCTGTGTTGTATCTCCAGTTTCAAAGTGTTACCCCTAAGGTTTGTATTGTGATTTAGCTCAAATAAGTGTTTAAGGTGATGCTGTAAGTCGTTAGAAGGTCACCTCTAGGTAGTCTATACTCAAATGAGTAAAGGTTCAGTGATTTGATGCTTTCTTCATAAGGTTTGATTTTGAGTCCTCGATCTGATGTTGTGACTCACCATTTTATATGCTCTGATGTGTCCTTATCCTTTTGGCGTGGGGGAAGAAATACTTTGTATCTATACACTAGATTAGGTCGAATGAAACTGTTGAAGATTAGGTGGAAACTTCCTCTACGCAGTTTGCGTAAGACTTAGATCATTTTCAACTTAGGATAACTTTAGGAAGGATTTACCCGGTGTATTCGTAGTCTACAACATGCCGGACATACTGCTTTACACTTTGAAATGTTTAAGGTAATCCTATTGTTGTCCGTACAACTTTGAAGTTAAGTCAGATCCTCCTTTAGTGCAGGCTTATAATCCTCGTTGCAAACTTTTCTATAGAGTTTCACCACACCAACTTAAATTAACAAATCCGACTATGCTTGTTTTGAAAGATTATTGATATCAATGAAAAAAGTGGGTCCTGAAACTGAACCTCGGGGGCCTACTATGACATTCCATAACCTTAGAAAAAAATCGACCTAATCGTTTGGGCCCATTGTCAAGACATATTTGGTCGACGTTGTCAAAAGCTTGTCAGAAGTCAAAGTGTTTGACATCAGCCTTCCTCTTGTGATCGAAGATAGTTAACCGTCCGTTAACCACGGTCAGCTGGTTGGTTGTATAAGAATAACCGTTCCTGAAACCATGCTATTGGGCTGAAAGATAGTTGGTGGATAGTTAGTGTTCACGTATGTTATAGTTTTTGATGGTATTGAGAGAAGTGTTACAGGCCTGCTGCTTCATGGTTCGCTACTTCGGTGTTTTTTAAAGATCAGTCTGACGTGAGCCAGTGCCCGCTTTTCTGGTACCCTACCTCGTCTTAGAGAATATGGGAGCATCACAATAAACGGTGTTGTCGTGATTGAAGCTGCTTCCGTCAGTTTGGCGGAATGGACCATATACGGGCCAGGAGAAGTTGTAGTGTCATTGGACCATAACCTAATAATCCTCAAAGCTGAACATGAAACTACTCGGAAAACAGATACCCAATATTTAACGCGGAGAAATACTCAACGATGGAAAAGGCGGGGACGATGAGTTGAATGAATTAGAGTTGTTCGTATGTCATGGCTTGGTCATGCAGGCGTGGTCCCTTCTGAATGTTACCTTATATCTTTTATTCATATTAAATATATTGTTCTATCTCTAGTCTAAGTTTGTTCTCTATCATGTATTGGTAATTGTTATGATGTAGTGAGTTGGTGTAGACGATTAAATGACTACTAATATCATAGAAGACCATAATTCTACATTGGTAAGCCCAACTAAAGAAACGCAACCTACTGTTGTTAATCCGTATTTCCGCTTTAACTTTCTCGATTGATTATATTTGTGTAAACCCATTATTATAATAGTCCTCTGATAAATGCTCACAGGTATTATCGATCGATACTAAAAACTGATCATCTGTATTAACTAAATAACCCCACCTGGAGTCCTTCAGAGGGCTACTGCCGGTCCCAAGACAGAATAAAGGAGAAGGGTTGTGCATGTGGTTAGCGACAATATCCCATAAAAAACTAACTCTCTGAAAAAACGCTAACCAGAAAAATTATTCAGACCATTTAAACACTGATCTGGGAGTAAGTAGGTCTTCATTCAGAAGAGTTTTGACGCCTTATGATGAAAACCGAGTTCCTTCGGAAGTCATGACACTGATGCTTCTGACAACCAGAGCAATCACCAAATTAGGTATATGGAATACTTGTACAATGTGGGAGACCGAGAGAGTCTTTCAAATTGCTGCAGAAATGAGGAGATACAACTTAGAGGTGCATAGGATCAGTGAAACACATTGAACGCAAGCTGGACAACATCGACTTACTTCAGGAGAGCTTCTGTTATACTCCGGCCACGATGAAGAAAAAGCCTCACATGCACAAAGAGTTGTATTGATGCTGTCCAAACAAGAACAAAATGCACTTATAGGATGGGAATCTCATGGACCAAGAATCATCAAAGCCTTAACAAATCCAAGATAGCCCTCAGCAACAAGTTACAGGCATTTCATGATCTACTCAGTAGAGAAGGAAATACCATGGAAAGCAACTGGATGATGATCAAAGAGGTAATCACTTTAACATGTCATGAGGTTCTGGGGCACAAGATGCACCATCATAGGGAATGGATCACCGTTAATACACTGGATAAGATTCAAGAAGGGAGGAACAAGAAAGCAGCAATCAATACCAGCCGAACATGAGCAGAAAAAGCCAAGGCACAAGCTGAATACACAGAAGTAAACAAGCAAGTGCAGAGGAGTATCAGAACTGATAAAACGTAAATATGTGGAAGATTTAGCAATCACGGTAGATAAGGTTGCAAGAGAAGGAAACATGAGAGAACTGTATGATATAACAAATAAACTCTCTGGAAATCTCCGTAAACCAGAACGACCAGTGAGAAGCAAGGAAGGCAAGGTACTCAGCAACATTCAAGAACAACGAAACAGGTGGGTAGAACACTTCAAAGGACTCTTGAATCGACCAGCTCCACTTAACTTTGGTGTTTGAATGAAATAATGATACCATTGTACTTGTTGAATACTTGATTTCGAATTCTGAATACAGTACATTCTTTTGTGGTTATCTAGTACTTCTTGATCCGATTACGTTATTTCTGTGATTCTTAGTTCATACTATAATTCAAATACTCTTGATTATCACATTGGCGTCGCGATGGAGCCTGTGATGGAATTGTTGGATATATATTCAGATTTTGATGCCATTGAGGATTACTTTGAAAGGTTCGAAATTTAAGCTATGACCAAGGAAGATGCTGAGGATGTTAATAATGTGGCACATTTCCTCACATTCATTGGAAAAGAAGCATACAGCTTATTAAAAACTCTGACTTTACCGGAGAAGTCTATTCCGCTTCGTTATACAGCTCCCAAGGAACTGCTGCTAGACTATGTTAAGTATACAAATCTCGAATACGGCAAAGGAAGATTTCGTAAGATGATTCATGAGGATTCAAAAAATTCCATTGCATTATGTCAATTCAACCCAGTGCATACTCAAGGTTATGCAGATAATTCATTGAGGAGTTGCGATGCAGTTCATGAAGATGGACATAAATGTAGTCAGTATTTGTCCTGTGGCAAGTTTCAGTCTTTTAATTTCTGTAAATTTCGTGATTCTAAGTGCTTTAAATGTGATGATATTGGACATATTTAGTCAGTCTGTAATACTAATGTCCATTTTGCTGCATTTAATATTAAGTCTTGTAATTCTGATTCTATTAAGTATTTATAATGATCATTTATCTTTATCAACGATTTCAAAGGATAGTGTAGAGTCATATAGTAGTTCGGAGTTGAATGAAGCTCAGAATTCTTGCGAAACAACAGTTTCTAATCAATGGACTTATCAGACTTCTCATATTATTAAACCAGATATGGTTTATCCTAATGATTCACTTATTTCTGATGAAATTCCTTGCAAATCTGAGGAAAATATGTTAAATGAACCTAATCATGATCAAAAACCTGATGTGGTTTTGATGGGTGCTGATTTTTCTATTGATCCTTTGCTCTGCAATGACATTCTTAATAAATTTGAGGAAACTATTTCAAAAAAATCAAATTTTGATGTCATATCAAATATTATTTGTCCTCATAATACAATTTTCGCTGGTGAGAAATTTGTTCAATGCGAAGCACAATTACTAAATGACCTCGATTCTGATTGCAATTCCGATGATTTCATATCAACTGTTGTTTATCCTTATCATGAAGTCACTTCTAATGTTTTCTCTAGTCAATGTGAGAAATATGTTTTGAATGAAGCCACATCATTCATAAATTGGGGATATAAAGATACAGTCTAAAAGTCTGTGGTCCAAATTCTAGGTATCAGCAATTTCAGTACACAACCGACGTGCTGATTACACAATCCCAGGAAGCAGGTGAGTCTGTTCCAATTTCCGTTGTTAATTCTAATACTAATGAGTGCATTCTAGATAATAGAGTTTTTACCCGATACAATGTCGGACAGAAAAAGGATGAACTTGAGAAGAAGACGTACAACCGATTACAGACACCTAGATTCCAATTTAAGCTGTGGCGGATGTAGTGTCTGAAAGAACTAATGATTCCTTTGTACTTGTTGAATGCTTGATTTTGAATCCTAAATACAGTACATTCTTTTGCGGTTATCTAGTATTTCTTGATCCGACTACGTTATTTCTGGGATTCTTAGTTCCTACTATAATTCAAATACTCTTGACTATCACACTTGGATAGTCAGAAAATTTTATTAATTGTATTCTTGTTAACTTAGTGTAAATATACGCCCTTTAAACAACGAGAACTTGAACATTATCAAACAACAAAGAAATTTATCAGTATGTCAAATATTGTAGAACCTCTCATTGAAATTTAGCGCAAACGATTTTGACCATGGCAATTTGAAAGTTTTTGTTAATGATGTAAACAATGTAAAAGATTCAAAGAT